AGTCTCAACTATGGCCATTATCAATTAAACAACGTATTTAACAAGCTAAAACTTCTCTATTCAACAAATTATTCTCCCATTATCCTTTTGATAAATTAAATCGTGCCCTTCTCTCTCTAATCCAATTCTCTAAACAAGAATGTTGTTTAGAGAAGCTTTCAACTTCAAACTACTTCCATCAGATTACGCTCTTCGACAAGTAAATTACAAAATATTCAACAAATTTACACATCTTAAAGCACAAAAGAGAAACTAGAAAGATGGAAGATAATTATTTTATAAAAGAAATTCGAATTTTTTTCCATAGCGACTAATGAGAAGTCAGTTAAGTATTGAAAACCATCGATCCAAAGTAGTGACTTTAAAGATACAACTGAGGAAATCCGATACATTCCATCTGTTTTTCAACATTCAGACCGCAATCAGACAAGTGAAAAGAGCGTTGTGGCACCCCCTACTGTTACAACTGTAACTAACATCGGATTTTGTCTAAGAAGATCGATGGAGATGGATCGATGATCCACCGACACCTTTCTGTTTGCTTTCTCTTGTAGTTTTGGTAAGTTTGTGTCTTTCCTCCCTTACTTCTTGTTTATACTAATTTAACTAGAAAGAAATTCAATTATAATCCATGACATGTTCTCTTCATTTTTTTATCATTTTCTGTGTAGTTAATAAAGCGTTAATTTAATCAATTATCACTTTACATGTATTTTTATTTTAGAAGTTAAAAAAAGTAAATATTGAACGTTTTTTAAACAAAATTCCGTAGTAATTATTCAGAAAAATCCTTGAAAGTTTGATAAAATAAATTATTTATGCCTTCAATTCTATATTTAATTATTTTGGTGTGAACTAATGAAAGTTTATGATAATAAATGGGTATAAATAATGAAGATATTCTCTGAGTTTCATATAAAAATATTTTAAAAATGAGACAAATTGTTTTCTTTTACTTATAATCGACTTTTGCTTTTTTAAAGTATTTCCTAAACAGTGCTTTTTTATTAGAAAATCCTTTTCCAACAGCAAAAAGATCTGTGATACGTAATAGTTGCAAGAACATATATCACAGAGCAAAAGACAAATTGCACGTTCGAAAACGGTGCAGTTTCACTTGGTGTGGTTCGTAAGAACCAATAAAATTCTACCAAATTTTCATACGATGTCAGATTCCTCTTTATCCAACTCTAAAGATAGAAGGCGGGCAGATAAAATGAGTTTATGCGTCATTCCCCGAGGCCCCATATTCCATCTGCGATATAAAATACCCTGTTCCACTCTGAATGCAAGTTTAAGGAGTGTGAAATAACCTCCTCTTATCTCCTTCTATAGGATATTTGTCGTCGAGAAATCCTTGGTATCCTATAGTGTTCTATTCTTTCACTTTGACTACAAGAAAAAATATTTTAGAATAACAAATACGCTATTTTTAACGCGTAGAAGACAGACAATCAGTAATTTTTCTCGATGCATTTGAGAATTTATCTATAAACGTGACATTTTAGAAAGCTGTTTAGTATTTTCCCCACTTTCTAAAAGCCTGAGTAACCAATAATTGTTAATGTTTCCTCAATGGAAGAACGAGAAAGAGAGATTTAAAGAAATCTTTAGAATCTCTTATATTTTCACCTTTGGGAATTTATATTTATTTAGAAAGAAATCAATATTTTAGAAAAATTTACTCTGGCATTTGATGAAATTTTTTCTGTTCAGAAATCTATTTTTGTAGAAAGAGTTTACGTCTTATCTCGCTTCGAACGAGTCAATGTCATTGAGGTTGTCTGAAAGGTTAAAACTGCAGCATTCTCCTTTTCCGCATCAACTCGATCCCGAGGGCATAAGTCCCTAACCCAATTTATCCTAGCGACAGAAGACCCATTCCTTGTAAAGTAGTAAGCTCTGTTTTCCAATTGTAGTTAATGACGTTAATATTCGTAAATTAACATTCATTTTTTATCGATTTTCTTTAGTTTATTAATAAAATAATCGCTTAAATTGGGCATCTTTAGTTAAAACTGATTGTTCTTTCCGAAAAGAGCATCTCTCCTACTCTCTCTGCTTGAGAATTTTCGATTTGTTTCGCTAACAAATATCATCTTGTCGAGGATTTTGTTTGCTGTCGATGCAACTGTGCTCACAGCAGAAAATCGAATGATTCCTAACTGACCCGCATTGTTCTGTTTGATGACTTTCTATCCCAGCATCTGGCAGCTTTAATGACGGTTTGGAAGCTGCGATTGGTTTGACATCGAGTGCTCGACAGCTAATCAGGCGAAGTGGGTGAGTTAATCACAACCAACTCTCCGATCGAGATGTCTCGATACACGTCAAACAAATAGCTACCATTATTTGGCCTCTTTTTTTCCCTCTCCACTTATGAAGGTGAAGTGAAGTATCTTAAAAAACAAATTATATCTTGTTTCGTCTTTATACTTCAAAATGTCTCTATTCTAGTTTTAGTAGTGGTTCAAAATACTGTATTTCTCTCTTTGTTTATTACGATTTAATCTCTGCTCAAGATTTCTGGTTCAAAATCTTTCTGCGCGCTTTTGTTTTATTTCCGTAGCTCTTCAGAACTTAGTTCAAGTGATAGCTTTTCATCCTAGGTCGTTGAAAAGGCCGGGTTTGAATCCTCTAAGAACATTAACACTTAATTTAAATAAGAGCTTTCTTTTTCATACATTATTTACTTTGGTCGACTATAATGCAATTTGGACCCTTTTCTAATTAGCCAAATTTTAGTTTAATCTCTCCTCAAGACTTCGAAATTTCTCTCTCTCTTTTATTTTTATCCCCCATCTTCTTAGAACTTAGAACTCGACCCAAATGATAAGATTCATTTTATATCTGGGTCCGAATCCATTAAGAGTACTGTATTGACACTTAATTGAAGTCGAGCTTTGTTTCTCATGCTTCATTTATTCTAGCCAATCCCATTGCGGGTCAAACTTTTTTCTAATGATCAGAATTTAAGTTTAATCTCTTTTCGAAACTTTCAGCTCAAAATCCTTTCTTTTATTTTTATTTTTTCGTTGGGCAAGAGCTGCTAGGCTATGGCGCCCTGTGGTAAGTTGTGACAGAACTGTTGTGTGACGTTGTTAGTAGTTATATATTGTTTATACACGGGGAATAATGTCTTNACTAATACAATAGAACAAGTTAAATAAAATAAATAAAACATTAAACATTTTGTATAAAACCTAAGGATAATTGTAATACAAGATGCATAGGAAATTAGAAATACTTTGAAGCGGTTATTAAATTTTAGCTATTTTCTTCTTTCTATAAGGCATTAATATCAAAATTTTCCTAAAGAGCGTTACAATTATTTTATTTTCTAAAAATTATATTTGATTCTTCTGTTTTATATCATTTTCAAACATTTAATCAGTAGTTTTAAGCTGAATATAGTCAGATATGTGACCCTCATACGTTTCTTTTAATAAAAACTGTTGGCTTTCTGAAATGAGCATTGGTTAGATTTAAGTTATTAATTAAATAATTTCACGACATACGAATAACAAAAATACACCAAAAATTCTGAGAATTTTATGTTAAGAATTAGAAATTTATATATGTAACGTTATTTTGTAATTCGAAACGTCGACATTGAATTAATATTCGATTAATTTGTCGAAAAAATAAATAAATAAATAAATAATAATAATAATAATAATAATATAGAGTAAAATCATAAAAATTAGATTTTTAAATATGATTTAAAGATTTTTCTGAAAAATTTTGGTAATTTTTTAATGTTCATTCTGGTTAGAATCGAAATTATCCTCATTTAAAAGGAACATATCGAATGTAGAATTCAGAAATACAACCGAATTATCTCATTTATACTTTATCCTATTTCTAACTGTTTCAAAAACTCTGCATAATTTTTACATAAAAAATAGAGATTAAGTATTTTTAGTCCACTTACTCAACTCTTTACTAGATGCATACTTCCAGAATAAAGCTCCAGATGTGAATCCCGCTATGGCAGTACTAATCAAAAAATTTAAATTACCATCCCGCTTCACTTGTTCCGAATTAGAAATTTGTTCGGTGGCAACGATATTTCCGGTTTTACTCGAACAATTTTTCACATTTCTAAAAGAATTGATAAATAAATAATATTATGTATTAGAATGAAAAATGTCCTTCAAACGTTACAATTGCTAAGATACAAACCTTTGAAGAAGATATCCTTCTTCAAATCTGATTAAAAAGTTTTTTCTACAAAACTTCAGCGCTTTCATTTTTGCCTAAATTTTTTTCGACTTAAATTTTTTCGCTTTATCCTATAGAATCCGTTCGAGAACTAATTCGAAAATTTTTAAAATTTTTTTCTTAGAACGTTGCCTTCAATTAAACGAATAATTTGAAAATTTAGATGCTTATATTTTTTTCGACTTAAATTTTTTCGCTTTATCCTATAGAATCCGTTCGAGAACTAATTCGAAAATTTTTAAAATTTTTTTCTTAGATGTGCATAACAAATTCATGAGTAATAAAATTAAATGGCCTTTAAAGAGTTTAAAATGATTAAATTTAATTTAAACATCTTAATAGTTACAAGGGATTATCATCATCTTAAGTGATTTTGGTCTTTAATGACCTTAAATCACCCTTTACCAAAGTTAAACTGGCAAACATCACTTTTCAATTATCCAAAAAATTTCTTCTATTTTTAAAGTTTTTTTAAAAAAAATTATCATCGACGTTTTCTTAGATTTCTATAATTTAAAATTTAGTATCTAATCTAAATATGTTTCGCTTTAATCGTCGTAAAGAGTTTGATTAATTGTAATTAAATTGTATCAAATCTTTTTTTAACCAACTGACGATATACTTTATTACAATATAACAGCAATTATACGTAAATAAATTCATTAAATATAATAGAACAATAAGTTATTATGGATTCATTTACGAAATTAAATTTTACAATAAATCAGTTATTTAACAATGACAATCGTCACAAATACTACAAAGCTTTACGGATACCTCAAACAATACAGAGATAAGTAATTAATTATCGTTATAACTATTATCTATATCAGTTTCTAAATTACAATTACTAGTATATATACTTCAGACCGAATGGCCGGGCAGTAAAGGTTTCAGGCTGTAGTTCTGGAGTACTCGAAATCGAACCCAACAGAGTCGAAAAACCTCAGGAACTTTTTGAGTGGTCCATTTGAATATGTGGGTCTGGCCGAATTCCTAATGGGCTTGCTAATAAAAGGCTTTTTTAAAATGTATCTACCCTTTATGTTCTTGTATCCTGTAGTCAGTTTGGACTGTTCAGATAATATTAGTATCCGTATCAATTCTAAATTATGATGGCTGAGAGAAGAGATGGAGGGATGAGAAAATTCCAATCCCGTCTACGAGTAACATTTATCAGCAGGACTTTCAACCGAAACTTAAATGTAAGGATTAATAATTGTTTTATTAATAATTGTTTTAAGTGTTAATGGAGCATTCAGAATCTGTTCCGTTCTTTTATGACGTAATAATACTCATTAAAATCATTTATCTATTCCCGAAACCTGTGATAAATTTAAACCAATAGTAAAGCCACTAAACGGCCGGACACAGAAGTGGTCCAAAGTTTTACATAAAATAGAATAAGTTAAAGAATTTCAAATTAAATTAAAATTATTTGTTTTAAACGTATCATTTCGTTTGTGATGTTTTATATAGTTTTTTATGGTTTTCTGGAATGGAGAGGATCCACATTTATGACTAATTCGAGCCCCATTTCGCTTTTCTCAGGCCTATCTTCGTATGTAATAATGGAATTTTTAGGCATAACTTTGGAGAGACTATTTGTATAAATTTCAGACAACAATTCCTAAACAATCTTTTTCAATGGCTATATTTAGAGACACTTCGCAGAAGGTGAACTTGAAAAAAATTAGTATTCTTATACAATATTTTTTATTTTTTATATTGCTAATCAAATATACTAAATTATTACCACGAAGACCAAATAGGTTTAGTTGAAGGATAGACGAACAGACAATAAAAATTTTATGTAACTCTACGAACTGTTACACGAGAGTCGCCTAAATTTTTTGTTAGGGATGTTTTGGCCTCTACTGAGTTTCGTATGGAGACACCCTAATCTGAATCCAGTTTTTCTTCAGGCTCCCTATAATAGAGCCTAACAATAGAAACAATATACCATTTGATTAACTATTGACATCGAAAAATCGATTATTTAATTTAATTTTTTTAAATCAATTGTAATGAAATTCTATGAGGTATTTCCTAGCTTTATTTTTAATTTTATTCCTCTAATTTTAATATATATGTTGCTGATTTTTTATTTTTCTTTTTTATCGTCGAATGCGATTATTCTAAAAACATATCAGATAGTCTAATTAGTGAAGAAGAATTTGTATAATTAGTAGAAGTAGTTAAAAAAGACTCGAAAAGCGGGATCCTTTGATTAATGTCGCACCCAAGACCCCGAGGAAACTTTGCCAATTGATCTTTTTTTCCCCCTTGTTTTTTCCTTTTTACCCCTCTTTAAATAGATTTTTCTCTTCGGAAAATCTTTTTAAGAATGAAAGAATGGTAATTTTAAAATATTTCTAAACAAAAATCTATTTGTTTAATCAATATTTCTTTCTACCATCGTTTAAATAAAGATTTACAAGTCATTTCCAAGAAAATGAACAATTTACTTTCCCTTTTTTCCCCTGTCTATTAAGTTTTCTGCTTAGCGAGAAAGTAAGAAATTGCAAAACTATTCTTTCCCTTCAGCTAGAAAGAGATCTTTGCTATCCACCCTTCTAAGGACAGCCTTCTTTTGACAAATCTTTGTCACGTCACTCACTGGGTTCTCCATCTAGCCTTGGGGACTTCTCTTCTAATTTCAACTACCTAACGGCATTGCTCTATATGCTATCGACCATACTTGGTCGATGTTCCCCTCTTCTGTGGCTTATTTCTGTGCAAAGGGATCCATTGTTTGAGATTTCGATAACGCAGCTCAAAGTGTTAAAACAATGTAATGTACTTCGTTTAGTGATCCATTCGTCGTGTAGTGCTAAACAAAGACTTCCTGTTTGTAATGGACCCCTTATGTACAGTAAACCATGCTTGAAGGAATCGTTAATCATATATGGTCTTTCGTAAGTTATTTCTGCATGGGATTCATTGTTTAATACGTCAACAACAAAGCTCGAAGTGTTAAATAATGTCTTCTCGCAGAGATCTCATATGTTGCATACTATTAATGAGTGGATCCTTTTATTTAATATTAAAAACAAAGAACTTTTCTCGCCCAGAAATAAACTAGAGTAATGGGATCATCGATTGTGTTTGGTCGATGATGTTCCTTCATCTAGCTTATTTCTATGCGAGTGGGATCCATTTTTTACACTTCAACGATAAAACGCGAAATGTTAAATAATAATCTCTTAATGCAGTCCTTTTTGTTGCATACTGCTAAACAGTAAATCTCTTATTGTTTTTATTTTATTTTATTTTTGATTCTTTTCGTCCTGAGGACACTAAGAGGGCCTTTGTTCTATGCCCATTGTGTGTTCGGCGAGGCCCGCAATAGAGATGACCGGGTAGTGTGAGACTAAGCACTAACATATCCAGGACAGTCTTCAAAAAATGTCCTTAGATTGCTCACCCGGATTCGATCCCGGAACCCACCACAACGATAGGCTAATGCCTTAAATACCTCGGTCCTCCGGCCGTTAAAGTCTCTTATTTAAAAGAAACTCACTGTTAAACAGTGGACACATAGAAATAAATCACAAAAAAAGAAGACTTAAATTATACTTAATCAATGATCTCTCCCGCTACAGTAACCTCTTCAACTTATTTATATGCTAAAGAAGATGCATTGAATATTACTTTAAGCATCGTTACATAAATATTTCTTCTTATGTGTTCCGCTTGACTTTTCACTCGCCGAGTTTTGTAGCAAATTGATTTTAGTAATTAACCCAAAAGTCCTTTGTTGTCTTTGCAATTCTAGGGTTGTTCGTCTATTGAATCTGTGGCGTCCGAGTGGCGGACTTTTCTCACGAGCCACTGGACTGTTTGGACGTTTGCCCACCACACGTCAATTTCCAAGGACTTCTTGTTGTTGACAGATTCATCTAAGAATAACCTTGACCACGTTTATCATTAATTTGTCTTCTTGACTCGCATTTATTCAAAGAAACTAACTAAAACTTTTCAAATTTATAACCCTTTTAAAAAATCTTTCAGAAAGTCCATTTTAAATGAAAGATCTGCAAATCTTTTTTTTAGAATTTCAAATATTTCTAAAAAAATAAAATAAAAACCTCTTACTCATTTAATAAAAGCGGAATTTGAATCGCGAATAAATAAATTATTCAGTTTTTTGATGCTCTTACAGCTTCTAAAAAAACCATGTTACGTGTTTTTGGAAGGTTGATTGTTAACTCGATCGATCACCCATGAAAGTCAAAATTTCGAATGTTTTTTTTTTTCCTCCTCCGAATTTAAGAAATTTTGTGTTAAAAAATTCACCTATACATAAAATTTTACTCAATTATTAATTCTTTAGATATGTGTTTTTGGAATAAGTACGTCACTTTGAAAGATCCAAAAACTTTACCGGAATTAACTCTACTGCAGCCATCTGTCGATGTATTTTGCAATTATTTTTCGAAACATTAAAATACATTTTACAATAATTATGGTTATCTTATTCTAAAAATTAATCTTAAAAAATATTTTCGAATTAATGTATTAATATATTCATTTTTTTTAAATTGCTTTATTGTTTAATAGTGAAAAAAATAAATTCATTTTTTAAATATGATGAATCAATAAAGTAATTTGACATTTTACAACAAAAAATAACATTTTTTTTAAATATTAACTAATAAATATTTTTTTAAATAAATCAAATTTAAAATAGAATATTTTAACCTAAAAACCTTCCTAACAATATGAATAGATTATCAAAAAAATCGAAGAAATTTATTCAAAAAGTTTTTAGAATTCAAAAAGGTAATCCGGATTAATAAAGAAATATTTTTAAATATTTATATTTATAAAGTTTTTTTCTAAAAAAAAATACCTTTTTGCTATAAATTCAAATATAAAAATTTAATCGAAATCGTTTGAATTTTTAATGGCGAGTTATTTGAAATTTGTGTTTTTAGAAGGAAATAAAAATAAATATTTTAAAATCCCTACCGAACGAACCAAATTATATATTAATAATATTCAATTTTTATGTATTTTTTAGAACATTTTAAATAATAAAATAACATTGTATAAAAAACCAATTACCCAATAGAAAAAAAAACAATACAATAATATTTTAAGAAAAATAACGTTGAGTTGTTATATAATTTTTGAATTTTTTTGTTTAATTTTTTTAATAATCTATCAAAGGTTGTGTTTATAGTGTATTGTTCTTTGTATTGCTTATCTTTATATAAGTACTTTTATATTGTTTTATTTATAATTAATGAAAATACATTTCTTCGATATCAAACAATAGATTTATGTGTTATTTAAGACAAATAACAAATTTCACTTGTTAAATATTTAATTTATTTATATCGATTCTACTTACCTTACACTACTTGCTTTTACCATAAAGTAAATAGTGTTTAATAAAGGTAAGTAGTGTCATATAAATATTAACCTGTAGTAATTTAATTTTATTATATTTTAAGTTTTTTTTTTGTTTTTTTAATGAGATAAAACGGGAGAAGGATGTAGATTATTCCAAAAAAGTAATCAAAGATGTTTTGTCTGCAGATAATGCATTCAGTTTTTTTAATGAAAAATGTGGAAAAAATCGTTGGAAAACTATTTTACGAATATTTATGATGCTTTTTGAATGAAAAGTGGGGAAAAAATACGAAAATGAGTAAATAAATAAATAAATAAAAAAGGTAAGAGTAAATGTTCCTAGTATTGTATTTCTAGTCTATAAATGTAAGCATATATAAAGTATAATTTATACGTACGTACTGTAAATGTTCGTGTAATTAAGTCGGTATTATATAAATTTTATCCTGTAGTTATATATATGTACACGAATAAAAATTATTGTGACATACCGGGCTGCAATTTTTAATCATATTTTTAATTTAAAATTATGCTCTCGACCTCAAATTAGTTGTGCCTTGTCCCTGTACATCATACTTTTCCTGATAACAACAAAGTCATGCCTGTCACCTATGTAACTTTGTTCTGGAAAAAAATTTTAATTGAAATCACGTGAATTCCAGTATAAACTGGACGTTGTGATTTCAATACTGGTATATACAGGCAGTTCATATATCGCATCCTGTCCCTAAGCTTTCCATATTTGGTCTTGTCTTCCATCTATCTAACTCTGTTCTCGAGATTAAGGAAAGATAGACAGATGGACGACAGTGGTAATTTATAGGTCTACAATTTTTTCAAATTGCAGTCCAACAATATATATTGTAATGGCGTCAGTACCTAGTTATGTAGGTATATTTTATGTAATACATAAATTATACCTATATAACTAGGTACTGACGCCATTACAGAATACAGGACCGTTGACAGAAGTTATTTTTGAGGATCCTTATCCTAAGAAATATTTAAAATCATTGTTACTTTAACATTTTTAATTTGCATTTTCATTTATCCGTTATGCCTTAGGACTATGGTCCAAAGGGCCTTTCCATATACGTGGTCTATTTCGATTACAGGATATTTATAGTTGCTTTTGTACACAGATGTATCAATAGTTTATACTTATATCTATGTAAATCATACGTATATAAACCTGCATAACTAGTGATTTGTTTACTAGTTTCAGACACATTTTAGTCAAATTTTTATGTTAAGTTGTTTATTGTTTTTACAGGTGTTTGTCTATTTACTTACTGTCCAAGCTGTTGCAAGGAGAAACTATCAACGGAAATTAATAAACCCAAAATAAATGATTCTAATGATAACAAACGAAGAGAAATATTAATCATTGACTACATTACCATTATTATTTATTTTTTTATTTTTTGAGGGCCGAGTGATACAAGTGCATAAAAGGCCTCAGTAACTGCAGACTCTGGGTCGTTTATACACTTTACTCTCTTATAATTGGCCCAAATTGATCATGGGCCATTGGTTATTATCGATTTAAAGTTTCAAATAAAGCTTTAAATCGATGATGATAATAATAAATATATCAATAATTTTAATAATTTTGTATTAAATTTCTTTTTTAAAAATTTAATTTTTCAAGAAAATTATTTAAAAAATTAACGTCATGTTTTTTGCAAAAATAAATCCAAGAAATATCATATTTTAAAGATTTATTTAAACTTTTATTTTAAAAATAAAGAAAACTATTTTAATTATTTATTTTGTAAAAAAATCTTTCATATTTCCGTCAATAAAAATTTATTTGAAAATAACCATCAGTAGAAATGGCTCAGGGGCAATTAGCAACAAGTCAATCACGAATTTAAGAATTATACACTAAAAAATCATTAAATTGTATTAATTAAACTCATTTAAATTTGATTTTAAATTTCTTGTACAAATAATAATTATAATTTAACGAAGTTTATACGTATTTATGAGGATTCACCATTACAATATTTTACGATCCATCGTTGATCCAGGGATGCGAAAACGACATCTAGCAATGGTTAAGTTTGTAAATCCTAGTAGGAAATTCTACTAAATAAACTGTAATAACGTGCAACTGATTCTAGAAGACATCCTGATTACTTCCATGAATAATTTAAAGGTTTAGGTGATGGCACAATCTTTGCGGTCACGCCGTTTGACAACGTGACAAGCTCAAGTGGTATCCAGTAGAGACCAATGGCTTCATGTTTAATTCATCCCCTAATCTAGGGATTGTCCGGATCTGTAGCAACCAATAGAGTCGTTTTCTCACCTCCAAACATTAGCAGTTATTCAAGAAAAAAAAATGGTGGCATCCAAGTTTTTCCTCGTAGCAAGTGATGAAAGAATAAGGAATTCCTCATTACAATTGGAAAATTGAGGAAAATAAACATAGAAGCAATTAACTTAATTAATGCTTTAATTATTTAAAGGAGTAATTTGTTTTAGTTGAGAAGTACTAATAAATTATTTCTTAGCATCGATGGAGTAAATTAAATAAACAACCAAATCAATGCTTTGTTACTCTCCTCTATTCAACACCTAACACTTAAAAAATGTGAATTTTCTACAAATTAATTGTGTTTAATGTTTAAGTACATTTCTAATTGTCAATTTAAAAACGTTGTGAATAAAAAATTCAACAATTTCTTACAACATTAACGGTTTAATTGTCAAGACTCACGATAATACAACGCGCAGAAATATGCAAATAAGGGTGACAGATAATTAAATTCTGTTCAAGAATGAAGTTTGTCGAAAGATTTATATTCCATTCGGGAGATATATTATCCAACTTTGAACAATATCTTATCTTAGCTGTCTAAATGATAATTTATACCGTTTTCGATTAACATATTCCAACATTACAAAAGATCAATTCGACTCTGCAAAGTTGGACTCAATAAATCTTATCTTTGATCGAATCAATGAAAGAGAAGGATTAATTGAAATTTAGAATTTAAATTACCTTTCTGTCCTTTATTGTGTTCCTTTATTTATTCATTCATTTATAACTCTCAGTTACTACTGTGATGTAAATTTGTAATTTTTAGAGATTTTTTTTTAAATTTATGCATACTTATGAAATTTGATTAAAACATTAAGCAAGCTTTATGCAGACATACGAATAATTATTACTTTACTAGCATATATGCCCATTGAATTTCAACGGATTTTTAAAATAAAATGTTTCTTTACGAGTTCTGTTTACATACGTATGGGTATATGTATTGTAATGTTATTGTTATAATTTCAATTTTAGAACTTGAACTTGAAGACAAAAAAACAAACAAAGTTTATAATGATACCAAAAACCTCATAATAGCTTGCCAAGTTGTAATTTTGTCTTTATATTGAAATGCGAAGATCAAACTACAACTTAATGTTCCTTCATCTGGTGGTCTACTGTTTCTCTTATGCTATGGAATGGGAGCGCCCCTTTAAAGTATTTCGTACAAAGAGGATATTATTTAACCTTCTGCATTTAATGTACTGTTATTATTATTACTATATAATTTGTAAGCGTAATTATAAATTCAATTATAAAAAGAAGAAAACCGTTAAGGTCACCAAGGAACTGCTTCATAGGTTTAAAACTCTTACTTCCGGCGTTGATTGTTACGAGAATTGTTCATTGTTAAATAGGATCATCGATTCCTGTTTTGGAAGAAATGATTTTGTCATTTTATGAGATATAAAGGTCATACGGAAAAGACTTTGCAGCGAGAGATGCAATTAAATTGGAAGATATGGGATAACAAATTCGATTGAATACGGAAATCCTTTTAATACTGTAAAAACAGTTTTCTGATTTTAAACTTGAGCAGAGATTATTAAATTTAGAGAAGAGTCGTGCAGTACCGACTTTTACCACATTAATACTTTTACCATAACTAATGTAATGTAACTTGTGTGCTGAAGTGAGCAAGATACAAACAGTGGGTCTTTTGGCAAAAGGCCCTCTCTTATGAAGCCTCCAGGAAACAGTAATCCTTGAAACTCAGGCTGTTCCAGTGGCGGCATGCAGCTCACGAGATAGCTGTGAAACTGTAGCAGTCTTGTGGAGCCTCCCTGAAAGTGCCAAATAGCCACGAAAAGTCATCCAAGAGCCATGACGGCCAATGAAGATCTTCATTGGACTCATGGCTCTTGGATGACCTTTCTCAGGCCCTCTCGATATAGATTCGGGTGTCGTTTAATTGTTTTGACAAGTTGCATTTGACACTAAACTTTGAGCTCTGTAGCAACCTGCACTTGTGATTGCCCCGCCTCCAAATTATCCACGATTCTCCACTTCATTCCGTCATCAAGACGTTCGTAGCTACTCATTTTACTTGAATGCTTATGAAATTGAACCAACTTTTACAAGAAAAACAATGAATGTCACCGAGGAGCCCGAGCGAATTAATCATGGACAAAGTCACGTGTGATTTTCATGCCCTTCGCTGTGAAAGTTCTGCCCACACACACGTGCAGATATGACAGCTTGTCGGAACAACCTGTTGGGACCCGTTTGCCTGGCACAGGGTGCATCTGTCACATTTGCATGTGACAGATGGCACCCTCAATGGATGTATACGTATTCAACACTAAAAATTTTCATTCTTATTAGGTGGCATAATTTGTCCTTTCGGATCATTACTTTTGTTAAAATCGACAAAATGTGCAAATTCTCTTAATTTCGAACACCAATGTAGAATAGTGTACTTTCGTACTATAACCAATAATAATGACATTTATTCAAAAAAATGAATACTAGGAAAACATAGGAACAAATCTTCGAAAATTTCCATTAAAACTTCACTGCTTACAATTGTTACAAATAAGATACAAAATATTTTCTTGATCGGCACATTTGATATGTGCTCAGTCTTTTTAAATGAACTTTTAATCGTGATCTTGCATATAAAATTATTGTTTTTCCATCGAAAGTTCTATGCAATCTAACGTTCATCTGAGGGACCATACTTATATTTTTGTCAACTTGAATTGCTGTCATTCGATATACTAATGTTGTTTTTGGAACTGAAAATGTCGAAGCTGTCGAGCTGTTGAGTCATGTTGTTCATCTATTGCCATTTTTCATGCCAGCTTCGGTCAATTTTACTTTCTTCTTTCTCTCACTTTCTGCCATTTCTATCTAAATTAAAAAGAAAGAAAACAGACTTTTTTTTTTAAAATTATTTGTGGTCTTTACTGCACAAGTAAATTGTCGGTACAGGACGACTGCCACATGGTAACATTTTAGAGATTGTCCGTTGTATATAATTTTATATTGTGAAACTAATAAGATTTATTTTAATAATTTTTGACGCACTAAATACCAACAAACACCTCTGTAGAATGCTAGTAATGTTCGATACTGTACGACTCTCCCCTATATTTAATAAACCAGCAACGAGTTGCTCAATTTTCCCGTCAGCATTTAAAATTTTAGTGGCACCATTTGTTATCATATTTTATTAAAAAAACTTTGCATCTCCTTTAATTTTCGTAACAATCTAATTTCATAAATACTGTCCTTATAATCCATTACACGGCCTAAAAAACAATATACCTTATTTAAGGTTAATAAAGTATATTGTTCTCCCGGGCTCGACTCTTGTCGAGACTTTTCGGCAAGAGTGTGGATGAATTTTTATCATTCGTACCCGAGTCGTTCGGACTAGGGTTGTGAATTAAGCATAACCGTTTTGCTGACATTTTTTCGACATCAATTTGATTTTGTTTGTTTGTTTGTATTAAAAAATAATAATTTGGTAAAAGCTGCGCCCTTTGCAATAGCTTCGAGCCCCACAGATTGGAAAACACTGACTTAATGCATGAACAGTTTCATAGTTTTTAATTATTTCCAAATATTCAAATGTTTTTCTCTTTCTTAACAATATTGATGGTAAACTTTTAATCCCTCAGAATGTTACAATGCGAGCTACTTCTGAATATTGGTTATTATTTTTGATGGGACTTATATGTTCTTTTATTTTAATACCTAGTTCTTTACTGGTTTCACCCACATATGTTTTATTATTAGTACAGCTACACTGGAAATTATAAATCACATTTTTAGTATTTAGGATATTTTATTCTGTTTTATTATTATTATTATTATTATTTACGGTTTTCTTTAAGTTATTAAACTGTTCTGGAA